TTTCTTTCTTTTTGCATTTACCATCGATGCCCACCGTGTCATACTACCCCTACTTATTTTACTTTTTGTTAATAATAATAATAATAATAATTGTCAATATACGATTCGCATAATCGATTATTATACCTCATTTTTCATTTGACATTTTTTTCTTCTTTCTCTCTATTTTTTTTCTTTTAAAACCCTTTCGTTTATTAGCGCAAATGTTCATTCTTTTTTTTCACTTTTTTTTCTGTTTTTTCATTTTTTTTTATTTAATAGAATTATTATTATTATTATTATTATTATTATTATTATTATTATTATTATTATTATTATTATTATTATTATTCTTTGTGTGTTTGTTTATTTTTTTTATTTTTCGACATTTTACTTTACAAGTAAATGTCGAAAAAAAAATTCCTACGAAAAATGTTTTGTTATGTATGTATGTATGTCGCTTATGTGTGTGTATATATATATATATGTGTGTGTGTATGTTGTTATCAATTTTAAGATGCAACTAAGTCCTCTTATATCATCGAAAAATATCATTGGGAAATACCTCTACCATATATATATATATATATATATATCATTATTATTATTATTATTATTTATTATTATTCTTATAGTTTAATTTTTTAATCGTATATAAAATGTTTTTTTTAGAGTCTTCATCGAAAAAGCAGGAATAATTGTTTTCCAGTCGATTCCTACATTTCACATACACATTTTCTTCTCGCAATTAGTTTCATTACCAATTTTCTTTTTTTTTATCCTTATATTTTACATTATTAATTAAAAATTATAAATTAAACGTTAAAGAGAAACCAAAGAAAAAATAAATACAAGAGAAGTATATATACGTAAAAAAAACTTTCTTCCTATTTTTCTGTTTGAATATTAAAATTTAAGAAAAAACACATATACATACATATGTATATATATGTATATGTAATAAGAATTTACATTAAAAAAAAAAAAATAATTGTCAAAACTAAAATTCGTTGGTTTACTACTAGTTCCATCATTTTGTTTGCTTTACTTTGACTAACTTCTATTTACTACGTTAATCAATTAATTACTATATTATTAGCAATAATAATAATAATAATAGTATTAATAAAGATCATTATTATTATTGTGAAAATGTGTCTTTTTCTCATTTACTTTTTTGTTTGCGTATTCTTAAATAGCAAGTAAATTTTTTGTTTTCAACATAAACGAATGTCTGCATCGTCACCATTATACTTTTTCAGGTTTTTTCACTTTCACTTTTACAAAATACCATTTTAAACGCGCAATAATGATTCATAGATGATGACATAGATGATTATTTAATTATTATTAGAATTGTAGTAATAATAATACTAATAATAATGACCATTATTTTTATTGTTAACATAATTGTTTGAATCGCGCATAGTAAGTTTTTAAGGTTAGACGAATGCACCTTCATCGACGCCATTTTCCTTTCTTTCTCTTCTTTTATTTCTCTTCGTTAACATTTCTTCTCGAAAAGTGATTGATAATAAAAATAATAATAATAATAATAATTATTATAATAATAATAATAATAACGATCATTATTATTGTTATTAGATAATAGTTTTGCAACGAATCATAACCTTAATAAAAAAAATAAAAGAAAACATGCCTTCATAATTTCTGATTCTTCTTTTTCGTTTGCTTTTTATTTTGGCGATTAAGACTAATTATAGTTTATGATGTAAAAGAAAAAAAATAATAATAATAAATATTTATAATTCATCAATTTTATGAAATATTATGTAGATGCGTTTTTGTTGCATCAATTATTATTTCTAACTACAGTCGCGTTTTAATAAGCGTAATAATAAGAGAATCATTGACTTATTAATCCAATTAATCCATGATTGACGAATATACTCGTTTTGCAATATTTAGTTTAAAAAAAAAAAAATAGTTTAGAGTTTCACCGTGCGAGTAAAAAAAAGTAGTTAAGTTATTGGTTGGTTATGTGATAATTAATAACCACTTTGAAAATTATTTCGCAATACATTGAACGTTTTTATTATACTAGACGACGAGTATTTTTTTTTTCTTTTTTTACGTGAGGTGTATTAACCCGGGCGCTTAGTCTCTGGACCATTGTGCCCGGGCCCCTTGCGGGGTAAAACCTATCATCGCGGCGGTTCCGCGGGTAGCCCTTGCAAAGCGCTGCAATCTGGCCGCCCCTGAGACCACCAGGTCGAAAATGTTGTTGGCGGTGGTCCCAAGGACATCATTTCTGACGTCCGTGAGCCCAACGCATTGAGTTATGAGATGGAGGGGGGTATCCTCCCCTTCGCCGCACCTGCCGCAGACCGAGTCTTGTGCTAGGCCCAGTCGCGTAAAGTGCTTTCCTAAGTGCCAGTGCCTGGTGACCAGCCCCACAACCAGCCTCAATTGGGCCCGGTCTAGGTTGATCAACTCGGTACCTAGCTTCTCCGAGGGCCCTGAGAACAGGGCCCTTGTGTGCCTCATGCCAGGGCCTTGCACCCAGAGATCCTTGAAGCGGTCCGTGGCCCACTTCGTAGTTCTCCTCCGCATAAGCGAGTATACTCATCAATCATGGTTATAACCGAATAATAGGAAATTAAAAAAAAATATATATATAATTAAACTAGACGCAAATTTACAAATTCGCCATTCATAACAAGCCATGTGTTATATAATATTAAAATAATAATATTATTAAAATGTATATATTGATAATAGTAAAATTAATATTAATACTTCAAATAATAATAATATTATTAATAATAATAATAATAATAATAATAATAATAATAATAATATAAATATTCTAAAGCTCGTATACAATTAGAGATACGTGCGATAATTTTTTTGTGTCGTTTCCTATGCTTGTTTCTTGTTTATTTATTACTTTTTTTTTGTTAATCTATATATATAAAAAAAGAATGATAAAATTGTACCGTTTCCGTTTGCAAAGAATTTTTTTTGTTTACTTTACTTTCATGTAATTCTTCCCTTCCAACTTTAATTTCTTTTGTTTCATCTTTATTAATATTATTATTATTATTATTATTATTATTATTATTATTATTATTATTATTATTATTATTAATATTGTTATTATTATTATTATTTATCCCCTTTTTTGTCATCCTTTCTTTAACTCTATTCTCTCTTTCTCTTTTCTTTTTTTTTTTAAGTTCATCCATGTCTACAACGATTTCTGAAATATACATGAAATATTAAAAATAATTTGCGAAAACTATTTTTAACGAAAAAAAAAAAATAAATATTCATTTAAAATTATATTATTACAAGTGTTCTCATAATATCAAATAATTATTCATATTAATGGATTTTTTACGATACTAATTTACAAACATGTCATTTAATAATACACGCCTATAAAGTATACCATATATATGTGGCGTTAATATGCGCCCCATATAAGCTATATTATATAGGCTTACAATAATATGTATAAATATTATCATATACAATGTTTACTAATCCTTACATTAATATAAAAATGATTAAGAGAAAGATCATCATGCATGAGATAATTATTAGGTTATGTTGTTGTTTTTCTTTGCTGTATTAAAAAAAATTTGATAAACAATGTTAATGAAACAATTAGGTTAAAATTTGGAATAGAAATAATGTTAAAAAAAAAAAAAAAAATCATTAAAATAAAATACAGTCATCGTTCTCGGCCATTATTTTTTTTTTCTTATCCTTTCATTTCTTTTCTTTCTTTTTGTTGTTGTGTTGTGTTGTTTTTAACGTGGTGTATTTGTTTTTAACATTAATTCATATTCGGCCTTCGTCATTATCATAATCGTTTGTTTATTATTATTACAAACAAACAAACAAAAATAAAAAAAAGGATATTTTCTTTCTAACGTGAGAAGAAGATAATTTTTAAATTATTTTATATTGTCTTGCTCTTTACGTGCTACCCATTACACAGATCATCAGACACATGAGGCAGAAAATTATTTAATAATAATCTAGGCATTATTTATTATTATTATTATTATTATTATTATTATTATTATTATTATTATTATTATTATTAATATTATTATTCATTTTCTTCTGCTTCTGTTTCTGTTTCTGCTTATTGTGTTTTTTTTTTTTAAATGTTTTTTTTCATTCTTTGTAAGTTTTGTTGTTGTTGTTTTTGGTTGTGTGTGATACATTTACTACGTGTGTCGTTTATTTTCAAAAGGAACTTCGATTGAACTTTTTTTTTTACTTTGTTTATGGTTTATGTTTTATGTTAATTATTATTATTATTTTCCTTCTTCTTCTTCTTCTGTTTTTCTTGTTTTGTTTTTTGTTTTTTTTTGCTTTATCATACGGCTCTTTTCTTCTCTCATTTTTTGTTTTATCATAACGCATTTTAATATTGCAATGAATTTGATCTGATCATTAAAATTAATTATTTAAAGGAGTGAATAAATTTTTGAATAAAAAAAAAGTGAATTCTTTTTCTGTTAATTTAATTTTTGATTTACGTAGTGAGTGGGAGGTTAAGAAAAAGGGGAAGATTACAGTTAGATAAAGAAAGAATAAAGAAATGATTGTGTTTGAAATAATTATATTCGAAGTTTAAATACTTTGTGTTACGCGGACGCATATATGCGTTTGATACAAAAAAAAGTTCCCAAGCGTTAAGTCAATATGAATGAAAATAGTATAAATAATAAATTGTTTTGAATCTTGTCACATGATAATTATGTAAGAAACAAAAACCTTACAAAATAATATAATTTATTATTAGATGCGATTATTTCCCATAACAAAAACATGAATTAATCAATGAAACGTGTATAATCACATTAATAATAAAATATACAGTAATAATAAGTAATCAACATTCATGAAAGGTTAATATGAAATAAAACAAAAACGTTCATTTGACTATATGAACGCGATGATAAAACATTGGGCGCATATATGCGTTCGATGTGATATAAAAGACTGATAGAGATAGAAAAAAAGAAAATGAATAAGTGAATCAGAGAGAGAGAAAGAGAGAAGAAGAAGAGATAAGAGGAATAAGAAAAGAAATTTGAAGATAAAAAATGTTCTCGAGTTCGGAGGTTATGTTGACCCCTAAACACGCACACAACAGAGACAATTAAAATTATAATAACACACACACACACATATATATATATATACATTATATGTGGTGTTTTGTTACAAAATATTAAATAATAATAATGATAATTATTTCAAATGAAAATTCGTCAAGAAACGTGTAAATACGTTAGAATAAAATCTTCTAGGACACAACTCGGATCTATAATTGGCATTAGTTGTAGTTGCAGTTATAGTTGTAGTAGTTTTAGGATTAACAGGTGTTAAATAAGGCCTGAATAGTTAGGGTTTACTGGTATCGTTGTTCAATGCTAGCGGATCGGTGATCATTTTTTGCTGTTGTTGTTGTGTAGAAGATTGCGTTGTAATTTCACTGACAGCACCACCGCTCATCAATTTGGCATTGTTGTTTTCTGTATTGGTTATTTTAGCATAATCACGTTTGCGCGGTAAATTTTCCGTTTTAACGATGGTTATGTCAGGATTGTTTTCTAATACCGAAGTAGCAGCTTTAGGTATCGCTGTACTTGGTAATTCCAAATAACCACCACCCTCCTTTTTTATCGTAGTCGATGAGGTTGTAGGGGTTGAAGCGGTTACCGTGCCAGCTGTTATCTTTTGTAAAATATCGTTCATAGAATCGTTGTTTTCTTGTGTTGTTGTCGTCGTGGATGTGTTAGTGATGGTATTGCTGCTGCTATTATTGTCGTTTCCTTCGGCATTGACTGATGCATTTGCATCATTGACCAATGAAATCCTTTCGGCACCTTGTAACGTTGACAGATACGTTGCTAATGTGTGTACTGTTACGTTTAAAAATTCGGCAGCACGGAACAACGTTATTTCTTTTCTTCGTAATTTATTGAGTATCTCGGCTGGTCCTTGTTCCGCCCAAAAATCCCTTACTCTAAAAAAATAATTTGGAACACTAGAAACATTTAGTTAATACCATAAAGTAATTTTTTCTTTTGTTCAATTTCAAATGAATTCTACAATATTTTGAATTGTAATTAAAAGGAATGGATTTTTACCTGTACGGGTGTTTAAGGCATCCATAACTGTCACGATATCTCCCATAAAGAGTACCGTAAGAAACGCCGAGTATCTCAGCAGCAGTCTTCATTTCTAACTCCTTGCTTTTGATGGCATCCATGACACGTCGCGTGAATGGTTCCTCCCAAAATTCTTGTCTACGACCCGTCGTCAAATAATCGTTCATCCTAACGACGTCACGAAAACTGTCAGGTATTGATAAGTTCGTGGCATTTGAATTCGACTGTATCGTTGATGCTAAATTCAACAAAAATTACACAAATATAAAATCAAACATGTTTAATTAAACTAATTATTATGATTATTATTATTTAAATTGACTTTTCTTACATTTCTTTTCCTGATCGGCGGTTGTACTTTCGTCCTTTTGAAGATATGGTACCTAAAAATGGAATCAGATTGAATTATTTCAATTTATTTGACTCTCTTCTTTTCCCTTTCCCCTACCCTCTCATGAAAGGGTAAAAAATATAAGGAAATTAGAAGAAATAAATGTAATGTAACGAAAAAAAAAAAAATGATAAACATTGTTTGTAAATCACCTTTTTGTTTATCCCCACCCTCCTCTAATTTCACCCATCTTTTTTAATTAAAAAAAAACAAAAATTTTATTGGTTATTTACCGTCGATATTGTTTCCATATTGTCACCCGGCATCATTTCTTCGTCCCAACTTTCATGGTCACCCTCGCTCATCATTTCTTCATGTGAATTTGGTGCAGAGAACTAATAGCAACAAAATAATAATAATAATAATAACAAAGTAACATTTGAGGTGTTTATATTCAAAATGAAAATAATTGAAAATGATTACTCACGTTGCCAGTTATACATGTGATTTTAGGTATAAAGGGGTCAGGGGGCGTAGGTGTTTCGTCCAATGGTGGACGACCTCTGCGCCTCTGTTTTGGTGGCAGCGGTTCTTCCGTTTCAACTTCCCTTAAAACTGTTTCAACACGTGGGGGTGTGGTAGCAGCTGGACCGGTGTTGTTCACATCATTTTGCGATGAATCGCTACGCCAGCTTACTTCCGCTAAACCCTTTATGTGAAGATCTTCCGCTGTTTTTAATAAGGATGATAATCTCGTCTGAAAAATAAAAAACAAAAAAAAAATTATAAAATTTTATTTTACTTTGTTTTATTTTTATTTTGATGCCAGCTTACTCCTTCTAAACTACCCTTTGTATGAAGATTTTCTGTTAATTTAAAAAAAAATAATTTCTTCTGAAAATAAAACAATTAAAGAATTTTATTTTACTTTTTTTATATTTTATTGTATTTTTATTTAATTTCATTTTGACGCCAACTTACTCCTGCTAAACTCTTTATGTGAAGATCATCCGCTATTTCAAATAAGTATGGTAATCTTCTCTGAAAATAAAACAATTGTAATATAATTTTATTTTATTTATTTTTTTGTTAGGTTCCACACACCATTTTGCATTCTCGTTGATACGATTTTGTGCATTATATTTTTTTATTATTGTTATTGAAATAAAATATATAGGGAATGTTTTATACGTTGACAGATAGTATATATATTAGGGAGGGTCAAAAAAATGACTTTTTTTTTTCAAGTGCCACGGAAAAATGGGTTGCTAGACCCCTTAAAACAATTCTCACCAAATATGAGCTCTTAATTTTAATAGGAAGTTCCTCCGCATCGCAGTTTTTTATTTTTATTTTTTTTTCAGTCTAATAGATTAAAATTCATACCTCATTATTTATTGATTGTACAGAAAAATGTTCTGAAAGAATTTTGTAGGAARTTTAATGCTCTACAAAAAAGGTATCATATATTTTTTCCGTAAACCTCACCATTTGAATGATATTGAAGATTTAAATTTGATGATTTTTAGACAAATTTCATTTTTGTTTATGAATTTTATAACTCCACAATAAATGACTATTATAAGATGCGCAATACAAATTTTTGTAGGAAATTAACTGCTCTATAAAAATGGTATCTTAGGTTTGTTTGTAATTTGTTGTAATGTTGTATTGTAAAGATATTCAAAGACAAACTGTCATGTGTACTGATTTTTGTCTCTGAATATCTTTTTAACGCTTAATTTAATCGCCAAAACATAAGACACCATTTTAATAGAGCAGTTAATTTCCTACAAAAATTTGTATTGTGCACTTTTTAATAGTCATTTATTGTCGAGTTATAAAATTCATAAACAAAAATGAAATTTGTCTAAAAATCATCAAATTTAAATCTTCAATATCATTCAAATGGTGAGGTTTACAGAAAAAATATATGATACCTTTTTTGTAGAGCATTAAACTTCCTACAAAATTCTTTGAAAACATTTTTCTGTACAATCAATAAATAATGAGGTATGAATTTTAATCTATTAGACTGAAAAAAAAAAAATAAAAAACTACGATGCGAAGGATCTTCCTATTAAAATTAAGAGCTCATACTGGGTGAGAATTCTTTTAAGGTGTCTAGGAACCTATTTCTGCATGGCACTTGAAAAAAAAAAAATAAGTCATTTTTTTGACCCACCCTAATATATATAAATATATATTTTTTTTTATAATATTAAAAACATGGAATATAAAATTCCGTGATAAACATTTAATAATGCAAGGTATTAAGTACTTTTGTAATATATATACATTTTTTAATTGGCTTTTATTGTAGTAGGAATCAGCTACGGTATATATGGAATTTGATCCCCGATAAATAAACAGGGGGAAAAATATTTTAACTTGGTAATCGAGACGAGTTTCGATCATTAATCGCGAATTCGTGCAATTTATTTTGATTAAAAGTACAATTCTAACGGATTAAAGATAGTTAGCTTCGGATTAATTTATTAATCATTAAAAAAAAAAAAATACAGAAACGGATTCGTACAATAATAATTCAAATTCGCGTATGATTTGTTTATTAATTTTATCAAAATGATTGAAATTTTGTATAATAAATAATTTATACAGTAATCCGAAAAGAAACAAAAATAATTATAGGTTAACTTCACGTATCGTATCAGTTAACAAACAAAATTGTATAATAATTCAAATTCGTGTATGATTTGTTTATTATTTTTATCAAAATGATTGAAATTTTGTATAATAAATAATTTATACAGTAATCCGAAAAGAAACAAAAATAATTATAGGTTAACTTAACGTATCGTATCAGTTAACTAACAAAATCGTATAATAAATCAAATTCGCGTATGATTTATTTATTATTTTTATTAAAATGATCAAAATTTTGAATAATAAATAATTTATACAGTAATGCGAACAAAACAAAAATAATTATAGGTTAACTTAATCTATCTCAAAAATTCAATCTTTTGTTTTTATAAATTGTTGAACAATTGTAGTGTTCGTGTTAAAACATGCGATAAAATATTTTATTTGAATAATTGGAGAATCCTTAGCTGTAAAAAAATATTCTTTTTATTCCACGTTAAATAAAACAAAGTTATACAAGTTACTAGGTAGCATAATCTCGGGGTCATTGGTGTCACATGCTTGTGCATTCCTGAACCTAACGGCAGTATAGTATCATGCACTTAGCCGGTTGACACGGAACTATACATTCATGAAGAAAATTTCACGAATAATGAGATACACCTACAATTAAAATTGTTGAGAGATAGAACGCCTTTTTTTCTATTCTAGCTAAAAGGTCAAATAAAGGTTGGTCCTATAAGTGCACTTTAGAAAGGGTATAGGCATCGTAACTGAATTATTTTTATATTCGTTTTTTTATGCAAAATTTAATTAAATGATATTATATAAACCGTAAGAAAGGGGAGGGGGTAAACTACTATTTTTTTTTTTTAATTCTAATAGGAAAATGTATACGTAAATTTATGTTAATATTATTTAATTAAAATATTCTTGAATAAAAAGATGAATAAGAATATATATATATATATATATAGGATACTATTAACTTTTTTAGGACACCCTGTACATAAAATATATGCTATGTATATATATATATATATATAAATAGCGTACACCGGTCGTCTACTACTGTAAACGAGAACTATCGATTTCATAAAACACAACGTGTCGTTTTTCTCTTTCTCCTGTGTGTACATTTATATATCTATATATATAAAAAGAAGAAGAAATANAAAAAAAAAAAAAAAATTCGCGCGACAAACAAAAGTCAACGAATGAAAGAAGGAAGAGAGCTTCGTGTCGTGTACACGGATACGACAAACCAATATAAAAAAAAAAAAATATGTACCGACAAGAAAACTACGATGCCATGATTCGTTTAGATAATTCAAAATGGCGATCCCCCTCTATACGTCACGTGCTCCGATTCGAACGTTTCGAACGGTATAAAAAGGTGATAAAAAAGTATTGGTAAAAAGTAATTACAAAAAATGAAAACCTCTTTCATGAACCAATAAGAAAATACATATATAAATATGAAATTTTTAAATTAATATTCAACTAATCCCAATGATAAATTTCATTCCAAAATTTCAATATGAATAACCTAAAAAAAAAGATATATTTTGAATATAACAATTAAGTGACTTTACTTTTTGAAAAAGTATAAATTTCAAAAGAATTTCAGTTAGGTTAAATAAATATTGTTAGATATTCGTTAAAAATTATGACAAAATTTAAATGGCTAGTCTCTAAATACGTTTCAATTGACACGTGTCAACAACGTACCCACGTACCTCAAGTTAACTAACCAGAGACAACAACGAAAACAATTGGGTTCGTTTTATATTTCGGTCTTTGATCATTTTTAAAATGGAGTATAGAATTTCTATTGGTTGTGTATATCTATTGCCGAGACTGAGAAAGGGAGAAAGGGAAAAAGGGAGAAGGAAAAAGAGAGAGAGAACACGAGTATGATAATTAAAGAACGACGGAAAGGTCGCGTAACGAACGTCATTGTCGTTTACAGTGTGAGGAAAGAGTGGGAAGAAGAGAGTATGGGAATGAAAAAAAAATAATAAAAAAAGGGGGTGATGTGAGTGGTAGTATTGGATGGGTGAGTGGGAATAGGGAAAGGGAAGAATGAGAAGGAAGAGGAGGCAAGAGGAAAGGAGAGAATCACCAATTACGTTTCGCTAATTTTCGAACCGATATAATGCCATCCTTTGAACGTTACCCCCACCCCTCACCTCCTCCATCTTTCTCACATCCTTCCCCACCTATCACATCGTTCCATTGAATTCTCCATAATTATTATATTAGATTTTTGTTCAAAATTATATTGTATATATAGCATATGTTATATAATGTTTAAAAAAAAAAAAGATAAAATTATAATAATTTATTAAATTTATTATAAAAATATTATTATTTAATTATATATATATATATATATATATANATATATATATATATATATATATATATATATATATATATATATATATATATATATATATATATGCTTGTATTAAGAGAAATACTATAGGTTGGATAGAAGATAAACAAAATTGTAATTTCAGCACGAATAAAAATAGAAAAGTATTATAAAATCTTTCAAATATATAATTATTATATAAAATTATATTATATTATATTATATTAATGATCTGATCGTTAAGTTTAAGATAATTAATTATTTTCCATATAATAATGTACAGAAAAATATTGAGAGTAAAATCTAACCTTAAAAAAAACTATATAACGTCTTTTTTTTGGCGGGAAAGTTTACGACGATTATGAAATGTAAAAATAATAATAATAATAATAATCCAAATGGATAATTTGAAATTGGCACGAACATTATACCCGGATGGTTCGATATATTATAAAGAAAAATGAAATATATATATATATATACATATTAATAACTTTCTACGAATGGAAGTAGGAGGAGGAGGAAGAGGAGGGGGAGGAATAGGACGATGATGGCGGCTTGACTTCGGCGGCTTGGCTTTCTATCGGCCACGGCTGGAATTGGAAAAATGCTTATGTGGGTCAGCATCATAGTCGTCGTCATCGTAGTCGTAGTCGTAGTTTGCCGTTGCCGTAGCCGTTTGGCTCGGTTCTAGACGAGAATAATGTATTTCAGAAATGAAACCACTTTTTCTTCTTTTACTTTTATTTTTTCCTCTACTCTACTCTACTCTTTTCATTTTTATTTTTTTTTCTTCTTTTTTTTTCATATTTTCTTATTCATATGGAAAACGAGAATAAGGGGTGAAGAGGTGAAGAGGGTGAGGTTAAGAGTAGGTGGGGGGGGGGGTCTATAAAGCAATATTTTCAATTCTTTCTATTCTTTCTATTCTTATCTTTTATTATAATATACTGTATATTTTATATTTTTATTAGTGTAAAATTTATTAGAACTATAATACAGTATAATATATTATAGTATACAGTATACCGAAATGTACAATAAACTGTAATTATATATTTATGTTATTTATTTTATTTATAATTATTGTAATCGATGGTGTATTATAATATACTGTATTTTCATATATTCTAATGAATGTATAATTCATTAAAATTATAGTATAGTATAATATACAGTAAACTATAATAACAATATATCACAGTATACAATTTATTATAATATGAAATATATAATAGCATATAACATTTTTCTTTCCCTCCAACCTTTCCCATTCCCTTTTAACCTCTTTTAACCCCTTTCGACCCCATATATTTTTGGCATAATACGAATGAGGTTATGGGTAGTGTATATTATTTAAGAATGAGGTTATGTTCGTAGTGTATAATATTTTAGAGTTTATAAGATTTTCTTAGCGATTTTTTGTAGAAAAAAAAGGAGACCGAAAGTGGAGAATGAAAATAAAATGAAATAAAATAAAATAAAAATAAAAATAAAAAATAGACAGCGTGCTGAAGAGAAAGCTCCATGGGGGCAGGCCGGTCGTCACGAATAGAAATCGGTTAAGAATTTGCGAGAGAGTTAAACTTATTATGGAAACTATGAAATGAAACTATAAAAACTTTAGCATCTGTGAAAGTTCTCTGTGAATTTCAATTTTTATTTACAATATTATTTAAATTTATATTATTATTATTATTATTATTATTATTATTATTATTATTATTATTATTATCATTATTATTATTATATTATTATTATTATAAACACAACAAAACTCGAATAGAAAAAAAATGTTCTCTCCTAGTTTTTTTTTTCTTTCTTTTATACTCGAACATATTTTTCTATAACTTCGAATATCGATTCAATCGAGTCTGTTTACTTGTTTGTTTATTTGTTTGTTTGTATGTACAGAGATTTGCTAGATTTGTTTTGAAAATTTGACGAAGAATACTAGTAGAAAGGTGTGGAGGGGTGAAAGGGGGTGTAAAAAAAAGTGAAACGGAGACGTGACAAGCGGATTTAACCCACCACCCTTCACCCTGCTGACTCCCAACAACCCCCTCACCGTATCGAAAATAAAGTACAAAGAAGGATCACTTTTCTTCATCTATTCAACACATGTACATATACACGAATAATGTACATGTGGGTATGTGTGTGTGTGTACTATGAAAAAAGTATAAGAATTTTGTTGATATTAACTCGTGTTCAGAAGTATATACAGATAAATATATATATAATGCACATACATATTAAAACACATTTAATTATTATTATTCTATTTTAAATTAAATATAATAATTATTGTTATATTTTTACATATAGAATAATTATATTTATTAGTATAACTATATACAATACTATATAGTAATAATTATATTTTTATATATAGTAAAAGATATTATATTATTTATATAATATTTTAAAAAATTATTTCTTTAAAATAAAATAAAAATAATTAAAATTATATTATAATATACAGGATGATCGGTAACTGGTGGTACAAGCGAACAAAGGGGGTGATTCTACATACAAAAATAAATTGGAAATATAGAATAACAATTTTTCGTTTGAGGCTTTTATTCGAAAAAATCGACTTTGAATTTATTATCATTGAACTTATCATTACTTATCATGAATTTATTTACTCATAGATTACTTAATCTATGTGTATGTTTTGTAAGTATGTGTGTATACCTCTCGGGTATCAGGTTCGGGAACGAATAGTGGTGGTAGATTTGGGAGAGAAAGAGGTAGAAATATGAATAGAAATAGAGAGGAGGGTCAAATCTATCAAACATTCATCGTCAAATCTGGTGTAGATGTTTTCTTTTTTTTTGTTCTTTTTTTTGGTATTCTTTTCTTTTTTTTTATTCATTTTATTGTCCGTGTCGAATTGAAAAGTGACTCTTCGATTTGTCGAATGTCAACGATTGGAAATGAAGACGTTTTCGTTTCGATGTTTTACGTTGTCAATTGAGTATACATAAATGTATACGTGTACATATATATGTATGTGTATTTTTGTAATTTTTTTTATTTCTGTTATCTTCACTTTAGTTGATTTTATTTTGGAAACCTTCAAAAAAGAACCCTCTGGAATTCTCATAGTTGAGTAAACGAAATAAAGTGTTTGTATGTCATGTGTGTATGTATTGAGAATATTGACATAAATGTGGTTAGAGCAAAAGGAAGATAGATAACAACTATGAGAGAATATGTGAATGTGAATGTATATATAAAGGAGACACTTACGTGATCGATATTAATTTCTCCCTTGTACATGAAATCGACGAGTACTTTGATGTCCGAGTATTTGACGTCTCGCATGATTACGATAGGATCCTTCTCTTCATATTGCGACAGGATCGTGTCAAAGTAGGTGCTGCATGCCGATAGGACAACCTAATCAATAATATCAACAAAATTATATATACATGTATAAATTATTATTATTATTATTATTTAGAATAAATAGTATATTATACAGTATAATAAATTATATATAATAGCAAATCATTTTTTAAAATTACTGTATAGTATTATATTTAATATACTGTATATACAGTATACTACACTATAGTAGTACTATAGTACTATATAGTACTATAGTTTATACTATAGTATACTGTAAACAAATAATTTATTAAATATATTTATAATTATTGTCATTATGATATATAGTATATTATATATAATAGTATATATTTTTTTTAAATTACTGTATAGTATAATATATAATATATACAGTATACTATAATTTACTGTAAATAAAATAATATATTATATATATATATATATATATATATATATTATAATCATGTGATATTATATATAATAGTATATTAATTTGTAAAATTACTGTACAGTATAATATATAATATATAGTTATACAGTATACTATTATACTATACTATATACTAACAGTATATTGTAAATAAAATCATTTATTAAATATATTTATAATTATCATAATCCCGATATATAAACATTATATCAAAATATACAATATACAGTAAACTATTATTACAACAATATAATATCATACTATGCATTTTTACAGATACAAAATTTTCATTCTCAATATCAGTATATTTTTCCAAGTACATATATGACAATTTCAATACTTTTCTTATCATCCCTTAAACATAATTTAATTTTTTTTTCATTTTATTATTTTTAAATAATGATAAAAAATCAAAATAGATACTAGTAATAATAATAATAATGAAAAAATAGGATTAAATAGAAATCAGGAATGTTTGTTGGAAATAATACTAAAATAGCGTTACGGAAAATTGATGGATCATTAAACCTACTCGCGTTTCTGTTAAATAGGAACGTATTATCACCATCACTCATTTACCATCCTCCACCAACCAATCCTCTTCTCATTCTCATCCCCCCCTCTAACTTCCCCTTCATCAGGTTTAATAAGATCCACGTTACTTTGTAATACTGTACGTCGATCATCGTTAATTATCAACCAAATGAAAATGTAGGTTCGAGAAATGGATCCTGGTGTCGTAGTTGACGTTAATATCACATCACAACGTTTCAGAATATCGGGACATACATATTTTTAACGTACAAATTTGAATGAAACGTGACAGAATAGAATCCCCCACTCTTCACCTTCACTCCCCACTACCGACCCTACCGCCATTACAATATTCTTCCTTCATTTGGTATGTATTTTATATAATACGCAAACAACGTATTTTCTTTTCTTTTTTTTCTTACTTTTTATTTCAAATATAATCATACGAAATATTTAGTTATTTATTGATATACAAGTATGTATAAATGTGTAAATATATATGTGGCTGGTTCTAAAAAAAAAAATCGAAAATGGCTTTATCGAGTTGATCAGTTTTTTATTAACTCGTAATCACATTTTTTTTTGCTCAAGTCGTAGTATATGTCTTGTTTGAGGAAAATATTATAGTGATCCCCAACTTTTTTGAGTTTGAATTGAATATAAAAATTTTTAAAAAATTCGAAAATGAGGGAATGACAGATTCGTGAGGGAATGATTTTTAATATGATTCTACAATAATTAAAAACTTTATAATGCACCAATCATTTGTTTTATTACAAAACTATAATAATTAAATAATTTTATTGGAAAAATATAATAATTAAATCCATACTTAATTATTAAATCCRGTCTTTTACTAAAGCCCCATCATCAGATAATGAAAGAATTTTACCAGGATAGACTTCGTTATTCCATGTTATAAGGACATGGTCACCAACTTTATATCCATAGATATTTTTTTCAGAAGGAGTAATCTTTGATATCTTCACATTACTTTCTACTTTAACTTCTTTTCTTTTACGTCGCGTTGATACTGCAAGTGTGTCCTTATCCGATACTTCAAAAGTTTTATAGTAACCAAGATGAAAATGTTGGCATTTTCTAACGCAGTCAAAACAAGATAGAGTTCTAAATTCAAGCACATCATTTGAGAACACAAATTGTCTGATTTTTTGAGTGCCAGGAAAAGTTGAAATAGACTTACATTTTTTGATCAAGTTATCCGTATTATTGATTTCCGCTGTACTTACCTCAATAAGCATTATTGAGGGACACTTTGAACTCAGAATATTTTAAAAAATTATAAAATTTTATGAGGGAATGACGATGAGGGAATGACGAAACGAAACAAAATTGCTACAAACTTGGGAAAATAAACCTTTTTTTCTTACAAATTGTAAACAGTACTTTATTACTTCCGAACAAATATAAAAATATGCTATGATTATTAAATAAAAAAATGCTTACCTTTTAATAACATCACATGAGGGAATGACGTTAAAAAAGGTAATATTCAAAAAACTTATTGTCAAATTGATTTTAAGAAAACATCCGTTCTTCAATTGTCCATTCTAGAGTATGTTCTCAAGGGCAATGTTGCTAACTACAAAAAAAGTTAAAGTGGGATTTGGTAGGCCTTGGAGTATTGCTCCAATCACACTGCTACAAAACGGTGTGGGAATGATACTTTTTTTAAGGACAAATTTTGAACTATATTTAAAAATATCTCCATTCGCATTTATGAAACTATGAACTCATATAGGTATAGTCAATACTATCCTATATAAGTAAAAAATATGATAATAAACAATTTGTTAAGAATTTTACGTTTTAAGTTAATGATTATCTTCAAATTTAGCGCTTGGGACATAGTGAAGGAATGATTTTCAGGGTACTTTCTTGGACATATCTTTGTTGTTTATCATATAAAAAATAAATTTGTTTCATACATTCGTAGATCTAGTACAGTCGTATTATTAAAAAAAAAAACTTTTCATAATTGACGATCCTGGTTTATAAAAATGATCAAGGACATCAATTTCGATTTTTTTTTTAGAACTAGCCATGTATAATTTTATTATGTTATGTGTGTGTATGAATGTGAAAGAGAAAGAAAGATCATTGAAGATAATGGAAATTTTTGTTGTTTTCTTTTCTTTTTTTCATAAGAATACCATTTACTTTCATGTTATGTAGTCAGATTGTAAATATTCCGTGTATAAATATATATATGTATATATATATACACAAATGTTTAGACTGCTAGAAATATTACTTGGATTTTCAACATCCATCAATTCAGGGGTAAAAGAAAACCTTCTTTTTTTTTACAGAAAAAATGTAATACTACATTTTCCACTTATTTCATTTCTTTTTATTTTATTTTTGTTATTTTTGCACAGATTGTACACGTAATATTTGTATTCTTGAGTATATTACTTCGATTCTTCTTCAACATCCATCAAATATGGAAAACGAAACTTTTTTACGATAAAATGTTATTCTATATTTTTTTATTTATTTATTTTTTTTTTATGTAAATTCATCATATTTTTAGGTTATAACAGATACATCAAAATACACGTTCTTGTTTTTCTAACCATAAGAGGGAAAGAAGGTAGAGTAATTTTATTTGAAATAAAAATATCGTTTTTAAATATTGGTAATGAAAAATATTTCGATAAACCAATAAATTAAACCAAGTAAAAATATTAAAAAAAAAAAGATTAAAAATATTCGTAACGTGTTTTGTTACGTTTTCGACACACATTTATTTCTTGTTAAAAACAGTTAAATTTTATCGGACGCTTATAAGCGTCCTCAAGTCTCAGATAGTAGTCCAGGTATCAGAATTTACACCGAATTTGTTGAATAAAACAATGCAATAAAAATATTACATAAAACGACACGATGAAATCTGATTCTAAACGTTTCAATAAAGATAGAGAAATGGAATAGATTGGGGTGGATTTGGATGGATTAGATTAGGGATACACTATGTTTAAAACAAACCAGATAATCTTCGATCGATTTAGTATGAAATTTCAAACTTGTACAATTTTATTCGATCTCATCTGATATAAGAAATAAAAATAAAAATAAAATACGTCACTCGAGTGCCATTGATGTAGACAAAATAAAAAAACAAAGTATAATAAATTAAAAAAAAATAAAAAGAATTCTTGCAGACGGTTCTAAGGGGTTGTTTGTCGGTGGGGTTTTTTTTTTAAACTTTTCATTAAGTTTCGATCGTATTACTTGTAACGTATAGAAATAGATGCTGTGGAAACGTGGCTCGAGGATTCCACTTTAAGAGTTGAAGGGGTTGGTTGGTTCTGAGAAAGAAAAAAAAGAAGAAGAAGAAGTAGAAAAGGAAGAAGAAGGAAAGGTTATCGAAGTTGAAATAAATCAATGTCAGGGTTCTTACTCCTTACCGTGAACTTCTTTTCACATAGAAAAATAAAGAACAAGAAGAAGAACAAGAACAAAATTCGTTTCTTTTCCAACAATCCATAAAAACAAAACAAAAAGATCTGAGTTCTATTCGAACAAATTTCGAGAATAATATCGATTTTTATCCTTAGTGTCATCCCTTATCTTCTTAGATTAATTTCACATTATGTTTGCAAAGTATTCTTTCTCTAAAACCTACCCCTAGCCCAAAGCTTCTCACCCCACCTCCACCCTAATCTTCGTTATTATCTTTTATTCATTGTATTCTTATTTTCTGTTTCTTCTTTTGTTTTTTAATATTTCTTTTATTATTTTTTTTTCCTGTCATAGTAGTGGGAAAGTAGAAACAGTAGGTGTAAAGCAATAGTTGTAGTTGTAGTGTAGTAGTAGTGTAGTAGTAGTAGTAGTAGTATAAAAGTATAACCGCATAAATTTCGTCCAGCCGACAGGCGTTAATTACTTTCAGGCCGTACCAGCAATGTATATATATATATATATATATATATGTATATGTATATATAACTCTTATACAGTTAGTACAATATACCTAACAAGAGGTGATGGTTTGCTTGGTTTGGTTTGGTTGGTTGGCCGTACTGGCAGCAGAAGCAAGAATAATAGTAATAGTAAT